GCGTCGGTTCCTTGATCAAGTCGATCAATTCGTCAGCAACGCTCTCAATGAAGACTGTAGTGACTCTTCCTTGGAAAATGTGATAATGACCCTCAGTAGGGAGCTGGATCGCACAAGACCTCGCACAAGGCTCAGCAGTCCTCCACGCCTACAGCTCTCCCCTGAAACACAATCAAAATTAGTCAGGTCAGTCAAGCGGCCGCGACTTTCTCTGGGATCTACCACCACAGCTTCTCTCCCACCGCTTCTCAAACCAACGCTCATTAAAATGCTTAGTTTGCCTTCCAATACACAGGAAAGTCGCCAGCTGCGAAACTACTTGGGTTTAAAGGAATTTCAGTCTCAAATTGATTTTTGTGACTCTGAAACTGAATTAACGCCAAGAAGGCATACATCTCGCGTATCAGTCCTGAAAGATAAAGCGAGAGCGCTTAAGGAAATCTCAAGGGGTTTGGACCCCTTCCTGTTATGCCAGGCTGGACGTCGTGTCGAGCCGACTTTTCTGGGTCGCGGCTGTGTCCGCATATCTGAAAGTGGACACTGCGGATCGTCACCTGTGGTCTTCTGGGCTCCCCCGCTCCCACTGCGATGCGAAAAACCAACAGCGCCCCATATATACTCGGCGCTCCTTGATGATCTGTGTCCTCTCTCTCCCGGCTCACCGGCTGCCTTTCAGCTACCTGAGAACTTTTGCAATTCGTCTGTATGTGAATTGGAAACATTCCAGGTTTGTCCAGTTGGCATTTGGCTATTTGAGTTACAATTTAGTAGCCGTTATCTTTAAAACCTTATAGACAAGTGACAATCAACAAGAAGCCTTGTTTGGCTTAATGTTAAAAAGAAGCGTTTGTCTATGATAATGATCTAATTTGCCATTGATACAGTCAAGAGTCACACCATTACTAGATGCAGATAAGTGGTTTCTGCTTTTTCAATTTGACCTCTGCCTGCTCCTCGCAAAGGCCGTAAGTGTTCTGGTACTTGAATAAATGAAAAGGTTCGCGTTCCAGGTATCTGCATGGATAAGGAAGAAGACTTTTCGAGCACTGGTGCTCGAAAAGTCTTTTTCCTTATCCGTTCTGGTACTTATTTAGTAATATTTGCTGTTCTCCCATGGATACCATCAAGGCCAACTTGGCATCACAAGGATCGGCTCAATCATTCATGTTCGCAGTCGTATTATCAAATAAAAGTAGGTTAATAGTAGATTAATTTTTCAATTTATGCCAACCTTCTGTTAGACTACAAACCGCTTTGTTCCACCAATTGGTAAACGCTGGCTGGTAGATACTTACGCGACGAATTGCTATATTATTTCCCCTTCTAGTGATGAACTCAATTTACTTATTGATCACTCAGTCTGTATACCGACTTTTTTAAACCAAAACACCGGTACGGAAAGAATTGGCGAACTAACAAACACATCTGTGGACGATTCTAACGAATCCGAGAGAGCAGTTGTGAGCAAGAGGCTTGAAATTTGGGCAAGGAGTTTATTTGCCAGACGTTTGGGATTCATACTCCAAATCATCATTAGGCACAGAAGCCGAGCAGAGTCGCTGGCGCATAGGGGATTTAGATATTCATAACATACAATTGCTACTTAATCGCATAACTACCTAACTAAGCAGCTTTACTATTCGTCGTAATTAGTCGTACCTCATGCAATTATTGCTTGAAGTTCCTCATTCGAGCCATTACTCGACCACATCTCCTTGAATAGTACTCAGTTCGATTGTGATCATGTCTGAACTAGCCAACTCTGACGATGTCACGCATTGTATCTTCTGACGCGTGACGAGCTGTGGCAGCAGATCTAGATAGCTGGACCTATTCCCTTCTCCAGTGACGGAGACTAAATACCGGAGTTCAAGGACCCATTTCCATTTCTTGACGAACCGTGTCGAACCAGCTATTGAGTTTATTTTATTATACTTCTTCAAGTGGGTAACGGCAACGTGTCAGACGGTGGCGAATCTGCACAAACCACATCTGTTGTCCTTTTGAATGGCCTGCGATGCTCTCACGGAATTGCCACAACAAGTGCGGACTGTGTCATTGAAGCCGAAGTTGATGTCCTGCACTCAGAAAATGGTCCACAGGCAGCAATGATGAAATACCCCTAGTTTTCGCCCATTTTTCACGCTAATAGCCCTATATTCACAATGGTAGAGAAGGACTGACCAAACGGGTGCACGGTACACGCGCATCTTCTGGACCGGTTCCGGAAACAATGTCGTTTTTTTGTCTGCGGTTCTCTCTATGTTGGTACCTGCTTAAGATTTCTGTTTCTATACTTCGATTGCCCCGCATTTCAGCTAGAAAATTCAAAGTACTACATACTGGTACGGACAACTTCGGGCCAAGTTTTTACTTGCACGACCTCGTATGAATCCGGCCCTTCGTTGGACGACGGGGAGAGGGATGAGGGTGACAGTAGGTGGAAATTGCTTTCAGCTAACTGTCTACAGCCGCCCGAGTTGGCCTACAGGGCTACCTCAGTGGCCGTCTGCCCCTGGAGACCGCGAACAACGTCCAGCCTTCGGAACCTGGACTGGGCGGTTGCCGGTCGCCGTTGTGGTCCACCTTCTGGTGCCTTTTCTCTTTGCCATCTTGGTGTAGTCGAACTTTTTGACAGTAAAACAAACAGTCTATCGTGGCACGGGCAAATCCCCCTGGATTGTCCCGGTGAGTCAGCCTAATAACAGTTTCTGTATAATTGTACTTGATGTGTGTGTGCGTGACTTAGTAGGTAAGATCAAGTTGGACGCTGCGCTTTTTGAGGGCAACCTTAAGCTCTGGAGGACAGTCAAGGACGAAAATGACATCGTCACCCTGCAGAGGGTTATAGACAACCGACATGACTGGAGTGATCATTGATGTTCGAAGTTTAACTCGTTGGGTTCAATGACAGTAAAGTTATACTCTGCAAAAAGAGGACGAGAGAGAACTCTCTAACCGTACTCCATCAACAAAGTTCCCCTAACTGGTCGTACAGATTTCCATAGACCATGACTTTACTGGTACAGCGTAGTTTCCAAAATTGTTGCTTTTGTATTTGGGTTAAGGAGAGCTATATAGCCTGACTCGTCAGCCCAGGCGTCGACATATTTTACACGTCTGACATTTGACCCTGGATTACGGAGCCTCCTTTGAAGTTGATTTGAGTTTGAGTATCCTGGCTGTGAAGAGCCCCTTTACACTGCAGTTCAGAGGTATGCCACCAAAACGGTTCCTTCAGTATTCTCGAACGGATGCCGTTCTTAACTTTGTTTTCTGTCAGTTCCAGGCGGGACGGAGGCCGCCGTCTCTAACCCACTTACTAAAAGGTCTGAACTGACGTCAACCATAGAATATTC